TTGTGAATGCTGACACGTTCACACCCAGAGGTTACAGAGCTGGCTGCAGGTAGGACAAATAGACGGACTGAGATGCACACTCCTGGCTTTTATTTGTGAGAATTGTTCAGCAGGCACTTCCAGGTTTCATGCCACGTCTTGGTTGGGGTGTTTGTTTTTTCATGCGTTCTAAGTGGAAACTAACACACACACACACACACACACACACACACACACACACACAATCCACCTGAACACCAATAGCAGACACACAAACCCCAGCACAAATCAAACAGCAGATCCCTGCCGAGAAACTAATAAAAAAAATGTATTACCTAAAAAGTCTTTTTTCAAGAGGCAATGTTAAAAAGGAAACGTCTCTTGGCAATAGGAGATGTAGATACTGAATATCTCAGGGTTGAAAAAGCCCCTGGGAGTGGGAAGACCTGTTAAAAAGCTCAGCTCTCTGATATCCGAATTGCAGCTCTGAAAGGAAGTGATAACCCGGAGGGATATTTCAGTCAGATCCGCATTTGCTCGCAAAACAGACATGGTCCCTTTACTGAGTTTTCTTGTTTACGTTATAAGTGGTTCTGTCCACAGTGCAAGCCCCTCTCTGGCTAGCAAAGGGAAATACACCACGGTAAATATTCAGGGTGCAGGAATGAATGCCTGTGTCAGGGTGGGTCTGGCCCATAACCCCAGCCCATAGGACTGGAAGGGACCTCTTAGGACCTCCAATCAAGGCCCTGCTATCCCAGGCAACCCTCTCATTTAATCCCACTCATGAATGTGTCAAGCTCTCTCTTAAAACTAGTTTAGTGGTTTGCCCCCACTCCTCCTGTTAGAAGGATGTTCCAGAACCTCACTCCTCTGATGGATAGAAAGGGACACAAGATCCAGAACCCATCTTACTAATGGACTAAAACTAACTACATTCTAATTTTGGGACAGTTCAGATTTAGATCCACATTTCAAACCCCACCTCCCACATTCAGGGGCATTCATATGAGCTCATTACAGACATGCAGCTTGGCATCCATAATTAAGGTCCAGAGGGTTATTTCATGCTCCTTGCCATTTGGAAGTGCATGGAATGTACAGGATGGATACAGGGAGAGGGGTACAGATGTCAAGGATGCTGGCTTGACATCTTGTAAACCTAGGATAGTGGGGGAGGTTCCTGAAAAGACAGAGAGGAAAATGATCAGAAATGTTTCAGGGCAAAGACAGACAGACGCGCACACATGCAGTAAGAACAAAGGAACTACAGTGGGGAGTGAATGATACAATGCCTGCTGCACTTAAGTGAGGAGCAGATGCCAAATGCCAGCGCCATCCTACAAATGTGCTTGAGCCAAACTCACTGCTCAGTAAATCTGACAGATGAACCATTGGATTCCCTCCCCTCCCCCAGAGTAGCTGGGTCCCGTGCCAACCTTTCTGTGGTTCCTAGTGTAGGGGGCATGCTGGGTTTGGGAAGGGGGCAGCAGAAGGCTGTGGCTAGAGCACACTCTGCTTCAGCAATTCCCAGCTAGCAGATGGCTCCCAGGGGTTAACGCCAGCCAGCATATATTACAGCAGCCCCTCTGGGCCATGGCTGGCATAGAACAGCCCCAGGTTTAGGGAGCCACAACTGGCCCCCTTATGATCTCCTCCTTTCCCCTTTGCTGTAACCAGTGGAAACCAGGCAAAGCAGACAGCCACCCCTAGATCTATAGCACCAGCTGACTATTCCATGCTGCACGAGAGGACAGGAGATGTGGCGCACAAGGCACTAAACACGTCCTTTTCTCCCCCTTCTTTTCCAGTTCCAGACTAACCCACTCTGATGGGCCACTCCACTATCCACCCAGCTGGTATCACCACGCCAAACAAGGAATCTCACTGGAATATGGGAGTCTCATACAGGGGCAGGGTAAGGCCAGAGACTCTTTTTAATCATACCGCATAGGTTTGTGAAGCTTTAAATCTGTATCGTTATCTTATAACCAATGGAGTTTGGAAACAACCTGAGACTTAACCTTGACATGTGATGGAAGGAAGACAGAGCATAATGTGGGAATGTTTAACGGAGGGGCCTGTAGGTGTCTGTGTATTTCTCCTGATCCCTTATGGCAGCGGTTCTCAAACTGGGGCCGCTGCTTGTGTAGGGAAAGCCCCTGGCGGGCCAGGCCAGTTTGTTTACCTGCCAGGTCCGCAGGTTCGGCTGAACGCAGCTCCCACTGGCCGCGGTTCACTGCTCCCGGCCAATGGGGGCTGCGGGAAGCGGTGCAGGCCAAGGGATGTGCTGG